GCCTTGGCCCTATGTGAGGGCAGGTGAGGTCTGTGGCTGTGCCAGATGCAGGAGCTTCAGGTCCCCACACAATGCTGTCATCCTTGCCAATGGGTCTTTGAGGGAAGTCAGTGGCATCTGACTGAATTAAAAGTGGGATGTGGCTGGGCAGTTGCCCCAGGCCCCCTGGGTACTGTGCGGTGCCAGGCAGGTCTGGCAGGTTCCTGTACATGTGATTGTCACACAGCACCCGAGACCTCTGGGTGCAGCTATGGCTGGGGATGTGGAGGACCCAAGGGAGCCCAACCTGACAGAAGAGGCCTGGGCTATCATGTGAGTCTGACTTCAGGCTGCACTGGGGACTGCTTTCCCTCCTCCAACACAATGTCACTGAGATAATCAGTGTCTGGCACCACACAGGAAGGTTCAGGGAGGCTCCACCTGTGGAAACTGGGCAGTGGGGACTGGTCAAGGGGCACAGGGTCAGTGAACGACAGGGGAACTCAAGACTAGAGAGACAGCACTTCTGGCTCTCTCCCTGCCAGGATGACCACAGGTGAGGGTGGTATGATGTGACCTGCTGTCACCAACTCCAGCCTCCGAGAGGCTGAGGCTGTGACCCTGTCTGGGGTGTGGAAACTCCTTCCCTGGCTAAGTGGGACTTTGTGCAGGAATCTGAGGGTGCTGTTCCCATGGGCTGCAGGCAGGGTGGGGACGGGTGGCAGGCAATGCTGGTGGACAGTACACAGGAGGCAGGGCCTCAGCTCCTAGAGAGGCTCTCTTCCCCTTTCCCTGGCAAGTGACACTGGGGCTTCGGTGCAGGGACAGGAGCACTTGCCTTGGCCCAGAGGATGAAGTTCTGAATCTGCAGGGACCTGAGAACATGAGAGTCCACCATGCTCAGGGCAGGCAGGAGGACAGAGGATCCGTGAAGCCAGAGACAGCATCCATGTTCAATGCCACACTGCTCCAAAGGTGCACACAGTTGCATTCCACGGGGAGTCGCCCTTACTCTGCAGTACTGGGGCTTCCCTGCGTGTAGAATAGGCAGGGAGACAGCTGAGTGCAGCTCTGGTCTGTGAGAAGAACCAGATGCCCACGACTAATCTACCCTGGATAATTACATAGTTCCAGAAGCCTCTTCATTTGACGGGTTTGTTTTTTGTGAAGTGTGATGAACCTGATCTGCCCTATGTTTCCAGTTGGGCCTGGAGAGGAGCAGGGGGTTTCTGACTGAGGCTGAGAGGAAGGAGGGCAGCTGTCCTCAGGGAGCTTCTTGCATATCTGCTGCGGCCACGTTCACCTCCCTGCCACAAGGCAGTCTCAGTGGACCCACCGTGCCGCAGAGCTCAGGAACCATTCTGTACACGAGACCCTCCCCAACAAAAATGCAATCATTTCTGATCCAGGAACCAAAGTCTCAGCTTTGTCCTTGATGACCCCTCAGCTGGTGTCACTAATCTCCGAATGCCAAGGACAGCCAGAAGTTGGCCCAGGGCTCCTGTCAGAATAACAAGTGAGAATTAAGCAAAGTGTCTCAGGGGGCGGCATTTGTAAGGAGTAAATCATTGTGCAAATTGAGGTGGTAAAGCTATCCTTCTATTTTTCTCCCCTTGGACAGGAAACAAGTCTGTTAAGAGCCCCAGAAAGTGGAAATGGAGAATCACAAGATTCACAAGATGAGAATCACCTTTGCACAGGACAAGGGGAGATCATAGCGACTCCTCAGACCCAAAGCAGGCTGACAAGGAGGTAAAGCGGCTTTGCTTTTTTGTGGGACCCAAGTATGCTCAGTGAGTGAGCTGATTATTTTCTGCTGATTAGAGTGGAAAAAGAAATGGCATTTATTTGTGGAAACAAACTTGCAGAAGCAGAGGTGAGCGGGATTCTTCAGTGAGTGGGTCATTGATGCTGGCCTCAAGGCTTTCGGCCCGTCCTCGGTGACTCCCAGCTACAGGCAAGACCCAGCAGCAGAAGAACCCTGGGAACAGACTGTGTCCCCAGACCCTGGCTGCCTCCAGGGATGTTCTTTCTAATGCACCCAGAACACAAATCACATGGCTTCACCGTGACAGTTATAAATTTCATCCACCATGGAGAGTTGGAGGCAGGCGATTTGTTGGGTCCAAGTCAAAGGTTACAAAAGAATTCTTCAGATTTGGGTGATTTCCACACCTATTAGGTAAGTTTAAACATATCCTTTTGCTTCTAAGGAAAACAGCTTGTAAAATACTTGGGAGCTCTGGGGACATCAAACAGCTCTTCG